CGTGGTTATTGACTATACCACTCAACCAAATTATTAAGTTAGGTACTCATTTGACCCAAAATTTAACTTTCTTTAATTTATTAAATAAAACGTCTTTCGCTTTGACGCACCGTTTAGGAGTTATAGATGAAAAAACAAGAAAAATAGACCGAAAAAATCTCGATTTTTTTGGCTATAAAAAGTTTTTCCTTTGGTGGCCCGCGTTAGCAATTTTGTTTTTTTTACATGGCTCAAAAAATATATACAATTTATTTATTCAGAAATATTACAATATGTCACAATTAAGGACATTTATAAATAGTGTTCAGAGAGCACTTTCACACTCTATTTACAATAAATAAAAATAAATAATACAGAAACTTATAATAATAAAAGTAATTGTATATAAACAAAAGAACTAGACTTGTCAAAATAACAACTAAAACACATGCATACTATACAATATTCACAGAATCCATTCACTCAGAAGAACTCCAAGCCTTTCTCCCTCTCGTGGAAGGAAAGGCAGTACTCTAGGAGATCCCAGCGCCTCGCACTCAGCCGCATTACTGGTATTAAGGACCGGTAGAGGCGCTATAATCACATATACTTGGCTTGAGTTGAGGATCTGCCCATTGCCAAAACATATACAAATTAGAAAAATAAAAATATTTTTCGCTATGAATTTCCGAATACGATCCTCAAGTAACTGGTCTAATATTCTTTGAAGTTATACCGACATTTTTACTGGTAGCAAGTTCTAGATTCTAATTTTTTTAATATAAATATTTTTTAAAAATGCTTTTAAAATTTTTATCAAATAATATCGATTTTTTCACACGGGCTCTCGTACTATTAGAAGAGATTATTGTATAAGTAGAATGAGAAGAAGAATCTTACATCATCAAAATCAAATTCATGAGGTTTGGGATTTTTTCTCAAGATATATCTTGAAGAAATACACAGTTAATTTCATATATTACATCAGATTGTTGTTTGGTTAATATTTTTTCTTTGAGATGGTTGTCAAACTTACTCCTCTTTGATTTAAATATATGAAAAAAAATATACCATTGCAATATCCTAATTGGTTGAATTATCGTTCTCATTCTTATGAATTTTATAATTGAATTTCATATTCTTTTGATTTGATACAAATTATTTCCAAAAATAGTAAAAATAATTTCCTTCACATTATTTAAGTATTTTAAAAAGGTAAGCCTTATAACTTTAAAAATGCAATTGTTTAAAATATTAAAATTAATATGTTTAGGGTGGTTCGATGGAAAATTCATTTTGCGTTGGTTAGTTTTATTACTGTCATATTTAACTGTATGATTAGTTTGTAGATTTCTTACGTGACCAGGTATCCATAAAAAACAATACTCAACAACCAGCGTCATTCAATATTTTTGATCGTATTTTTATATCTTTAATTAGAGGGTGTGTGATAAAGGGGTCTAGTAGAGATTATAGTTTTTGAGATATTTTAATCTATATCTTCAATAAAACTCGTTATCATATGATTTTCGACACTATTTTTCCTTTTCGCCTCTCTAACACGGTGTCGGGTTAAAATACAATTTTGAATAATAGGTCATTAAGAAGAGGACGAGATGATAAACATTTTCCTCGCCAACAATATGCAGGTCAGATTTTTAGTTTTTGAGATATTTTAATCCATATGCAAGAAAAAAAACCACAATTAGTTGACTCCAGCCGACATTACACATCGGAGATCTGACGGCTCAATCTAATTCACTCTCCACAAAATAAGTGCAAAAAGCGTCCTAACAAGTTTTCACTTTAAAAAAAAAATCTGCAATTGTCTTCGTCTATACCAAGCCAATAAATATCAACATTAAATACTTCAGCTACTTGCTAAACGACTATAATTATTATATTATAATAGGCTGACAGAAGGGGGCTATAGACTGGACCGCTATGAAAAGCCCTCGTCAAAGCCCCTCATAGCGGACGAACTGACGGCAGGTGATTCATGCGTCCGCTCCCAACAGATCGGTAAATCTCCTTTTAGCCCTGGCACCGGATTCAAAGCGCATCATCCTCCTCCCTCCCCTCCCCCCCTTCCATACTATATTAGAGTTCGTCTGGCTGAGGGGTCTATAGTGGTCGGGGAGGCACTGTGTCTTGTATTTACTAATAGTCAAGTGTCCTTTCATGAAAATAGCAGATATTGGCTGACTTATAACGTTCGAATTGCAAATTTTATCTCTATATTCAAACCTATGCATAATTGTCAATACAAAGTAAAGAAAACATTGCAAATTATTATACAATCGTTTATTATTGCCAAACAATTTAACATCAAAATTAATATTACTTTTCATGCCCCACTTATCCCTGTTGACCAAATCCGATACCTAGGAGTCCATTTGGACAAACGTCTAACTTGAAATCATCATACCAGACTGAAACGACAAGAAACCGTTCGACGTTTTCGACTACTGCAACACTTACTAGGCAAACGCTCTTACCTTCCAATTAATTACCTTACTCATATACATGACTACAATGAGACCTATTTGGAGATACGCAGTTGAGCTTTGGGGCTCCACTAAGCCATCCAATTCCTCTCGTACCCAATCCTTACAATCCAAAATCCTTCGGAAAATCCTCAATGCTCCTTACTTTGTCACCAATAAAATCGTCCATAATGACCTTAATGTACCATATGTTTCCGATTTAGCTCAATCCAGATACCTGTCCTTTCAGAATAAACTTCTGAACCATCCGAACCCTCTCGTTTCCAACCTTGCTTCCTCTTCAATTCATGATAACCCTCCGAGGCGTCTGAAAAGAATATGGCCTCGGGACCTTCTAATATAGAAATATAATTTGAGTGCTACCAATGGGTAGTTTCTCTTCATGTTGCACATGTCATATTACTTGTTCATATTTACTTGTTGTATTTATTATTAATTACAGTTATAAATTTCGTTAATAAAAAAAAAACAAAAAAAATTTTCATGTAACGTAAAGCAAAATAAACACAAGATAATTACTAATATTGGGATATATAATTTGCTTTTTCATCATTGATGATTCGCTAAGAAGAAAATCTGGTGTGTCCGCTCACACAACTTCTATTTCTGATTTTTTGATTTATTATCTTCAATAATCAACCATTGTGATCGACCGAAAAATTCAAAAACTTAACCCTCTTTCAAAATCCGAGGTTTCACGTTTCAGGTTGCGTAGAATTTGAAAAACGAATAAAAGACTTTTTGTCCGTCCGCTGCTAGTCTTCTCCGAAACTAATGGACCGATTTTTTTCAAATTTATATATAAAATCAGAGGTAACCCGAGGATGATCCTCCTTCATCGTCATTACTATCCGCCTTTTTCTTTAAAAGTGGAGGCCGGAAAACCCGCGTAGCTATAGACTGTAGCGCCTAAACGAATGTACCGATTTAAATGAAACTTCGCTAAAGTCATTTTCTTGACGCCCTTTAAATTTATCTATATAAAATACTTCAACGAAAAAAAGCTGGGAAAAAAGTGACGAGTTCTGGTAAAATTTAATTCCCAATAAATCAAAAAGTTTATGAAATTTCCTAAAAAAAAAAAAAAAAAAAATCGTTAAAATCGGACAATTAGGAGCAAAGATATCGTCTCCAGTTTTTTTATATGTTCTACTCCAAATGTTATATCCTTTGTTTGGCTTTTAAATTTTGAATGTGTTACTGAAGTAATGCTTTATTTTTTTTAGCATATTACTAATGATTAAAAAAAAAGTTTAGTAAAATAATTAGAATCACCTTTTATTTATTTTTCTTTGTGACTAGGAAGGTAATGTTACTTTAGATGTATAGTTGTTTGGAAATAATAAACCATTGTGAAATAATTTGCAGTGCTTTTTTTATTTTTTATATCTTTAAATATGTACATATAGAAACAAAAAAGAAATTGAATTAGATTTATTTTTCTGAAAATTGATCAAAGAAAATTAAGTACAATTTCTTTCAATACCCTCTAATATTGCTTTCCAAAAACACAAAAAAAATTGTCATGTGAACTTATTCTGCTTACTAACGAAATAATAAGAATCCCTAGTCCTAAAGGAGGGATGGAAATCGATAGTTGATATTACCGAAATATCGACTTTTCTTCCGATATTCCATATTATCGATAGCAACATAAAGGAAAATAAACAAAAAGTAATTCCTAATATTGGGATAAATAATTTTTTTCATTCATCATTGATAATTTGCTAAGAAGAAAATCTGGTGTGTCCACTCACATGACTTACACGACAGTGTAAAAATTTCAATACTCAATATTGATAATCAAAAACATTTGGCCATAGCCTGATTTTGTCACAAAATAATGTCTGTTAAAAGTAGAGGAAATAGTGAAGCTTGTGTGATGCCGGCAACAGATTTTCTCTCATTAACCCCTTTCTGACACCAGGATATGAAACCGTAATCAAGCTATAAATACGTTAATAGTTGTCCGAAATGAGCGATTTGCATTTCATTTTGTGGGAATTTCATTACCTTTAAAAAACCAGGCTAAACGGTGTTTTTTGGACTCAAGAGACTCTGAACCATATAGATTCGTCGAAAACCGCATGTCCATAACATTAAGTTCGTTATGGATTTTTTATTGGCGACAAAGTAAGGAGCATTGAGGATTTTCCGAAGGATTTTGGATTGTAAGGATTGAATACGAGAGGAATTCGACAGCTTAGTGGAGTCCCAAAGCACAACTCCGTAAGTCCAAATAGGCCTTAATATAGTCATGCATATGAGTCTTTTGTAATTAATTGGAAGTTTAGAGCGTTTGTCTAGTAGGTGTTTTAGTAGTCGGAAATATCGAGCGGTTTCTCTTCGTTTCAGTCTGGTATGATGATTGCAGTTTAGACTCCAAGGTACCGGATTTGTTCAACGGGTAGCTATATATGTATATGTATATGAATGAAGAAAGTAATTTTGAATTATTCCTATAATTCGATAGTTATGTTAATTGATATATAATTGTTATTTTCCTTTTTTCAGAGTTGAACTGCTGCTCAAAAGCTCAGGGAAATTGCAGGATAGCATGCCAAAGGGTGAGTTATACTGTTTTCACATCGTCATTTTTTAACTGTTATATTTATTATAAGGCTGAATACGGTTCGGTACCGAAACTACCAAACACTCATATCTACGCTTTGGCCATCCACGATAACTTCTTATAATTTGTATATGTTCTACATTATCTAATATTTAATAATTCATCAAGTAAACGAAAATTTTCATTTAATTTTTCTTTTAAGTTTGCTTCAAAATGTATATAATTCGTTTCCATAGAGGTCCCTGAACTCCCTCTACCTATACGGGATAGAAAAACAAGCTTTAGGATTAGGTGGTGTTTTTCGAGTTGCCCCTGGCTTTCCCGCAACGCCTAATGTATTTCCATTTCTCCCTCGGTTTAGAAGAACTATTTCCACTTATTTTTTTTCCAATCTTTTTCATCTTTTAGTCGATACCACCATCCAGCCGGGTTATTTTCTATTTTTAATCAATGTTTAAAGTTGAATTAACTTCACAATATTATAACGTCGCGACGTTTAAATTATTAAAAGCTTGTTTAGTTTTTAATTAATTAATTAATTTAATTAATGGGCTACTTTAATTTTTGTATCGTTCTCTTGGATCGGTCCAATTTCTGTCCTGGTATGGTTGAAACGTTACCTTTTTTTCTCTTAAAAATATCATGAGATCCGAATTATCATGATTACGAAAGGTTAAATTTAAAATGATGGAAAAATTTCAGGTAAAGAAAATATATGTATTGCCAGTTAAATATAAACACTTTACAAACAAAAAATATTTTTAAAAATAATCATTTAACGTGTCTCTAATTTTGTTGGCTTTGGTAGCTGGTTTTGTACCATTCGTCCCCTCTAAGCAAATATTAAATGCCTTAATGGCGGTTTTAAGACTTATCTATAATGAAAAATACAATGGGTGTAATACAATTTTCCATTGAAATTTTTCTTTATTGAGATATATTACAATCTGTTACATTTAAGGATAATAGTAATAGTGATAAAGAGTAGCTCATTCATACGATTCACAATAAATAAACAACAGTATAATAATACTAAAAGTAAATGTATATAAACTAAAAGATACTAAACTAAATAAAAATAAACTAATCTAAAAAAATAACTACACACATGCTTTTATACAATATTTATAATATTCATTCACTCAAGGTCTCCAAGTCAAGCCTTTCTCCTCACTCGTGGAGGAAAAGGCAGGAGTCTAGGAAATCCCAGCGTCTTTCACTGAGCCGCATCATTGGTATTACCAATGGAGGCTGAGCAGAGACACTATAACGAGATATAGTGTGAGATATAGTGCTTGAGTGAAGAATCTAGCCGTTGCCAGAACTCCAATGTATTCTTACAACAGATCTCTGGGCCACTGCTGCTTCAACCTTCGAGGAGAATTATAGGGATGGGTATAGCTAGAGAGGGATTGTGCAATTGAATTTGGATGATATGTAAGCTTTTGATGGAATTTGGAAAAATTTTCAGAGATAAGTTCTAGGACAAATGGGATATTAAGGTCATGGTCTAGGGTTTTGTTAGTTACATATAGCGGAGCATCAACTATTGTTCGAAGGACTTTGGACTGAAAGGATTGAATGCGTTTGATGTTAGAAAACTTTGCTGCCCTCTACTGTTCCAGTCCGTATGTCCAAATAGGTTTTGAAATTAAAATTAATATATTAGCTTGTCCCATAAATTATATATGAACCGTTCTCCGCTATTACCTTCTTCCATCTCTCAGGAAACCTGTTATACACTTTTTTCGAAAATTATTGAGAGTTATCACAAAATATTGATCGAGATGCGTTTTTATTTCGCTTTCGGATTTGTTAAATTTATCACTGAGAGATTTTTTAATAGAAAGAAACAAGTAATTATCGGATGGGGCAAGATCTGGGGAGTCCGGAGGATAAGATAGAATGTTCCAATTATTTTTTACACACTTTCTTTTTTACAGCGAACGTCCCATGTTGCGTGGGCTCTTACAGTCTGATTAGGATTTTTCCACCACTAGTAGTTCCAGCCTGGAGGCGCTCGCGGTTCCCCATGGAAGGTGAAATTCCAAAAAAAAATAATCCAAAAAGCAGCTGTTAAAAGAAAAGAGAAATCAGGGAAAAATTCTTCCTCATAGAGGAATTTTCTAATGTAATAGAAAAAAAAATTATTATCGTGACCAGAACTAGTAATTTCTGCCAGGGGGCGCCCCTTCCCCTCCCATGGATGGTAGAAACATAATTCCGAAAAGTTCCAAAAAATAGCTATTTAAAGAAAAGAAAAATGTAGGAAAAAACGATATTCTAAGATACTTTTATAAATTATAATATATATTATAACAAAAATTATTATCGTGACTAGTTCTAGTGATTTCTGCCAGGGAGCGCTCCTCCCCCTAATGGATGGTGGAAAAATATTTTCAAAAAACGTTCCAAAAACAGCAATTTAAAGAAAGGATAAATATAGGAAAAATTCACCCTCTAAGACGAATTTTCTAATGTAATATAAAAAAAAAATATTATCGTGACCATTACTAGCGAATTCTGACAGGGGGAAATATAACTATAATATGAATATGATCAGAATCGGTATTTATTTTATTTCTTAGAGGACTCATTTCCAGCAGCAGGGCTATTCATGAAATGAAATGAAAATGAAATAAAAAAATATTTTATTATTCTGGGACTGTTGTCCCTTTAGAAGAAATTATAAATACAGATTGTATGTCTGTGTGGTTACAATTGGATTATATATTTACTATAAGAGTTGACTAAACTTAAAAATACTGAAGAAGAGAAAGAAAAGAACAAGAAAATTGTACATATATATGAGATACTAAAAATAACCTAAATAAATTGAGGTAGTATCTGAGGTTGCTTAGATATTTCTCTCTCTAAGTATATTTCGCAATCAGTCGGATTGAGAAAGGAGTAGGTGTTTAAAGAGGAGAGGTTTCAAAGAGGAAACTGATGATCGTGTCGAATATCAGCAGGGATGGAGTTCCAGAGGGAGGCGGCTTGTATTGCAAAGGATTTGTCAAACGCAGCAATTCGGTGAGGAGGAGATTAGTGGTCGGAAGTACGGGATCTAGTGGTACGGGATTGGATGGAGTATTTGAATTGTAAGCTGTGAAAAAAATAGGAGGGTCGTTCTAATGATTTGAGAGTTCTAATGATTTGGTACAGAAAGGTGGCTAGGAAGTACTGACGGCGATAGGATGGGTAGAGCCACCTCAACTCAGTGTAATACTGGGTAATATGCGTATCCCTTGAGATTCCGAAAACAAATCGTAGTGCGTAATTCAATAGGCGTTTAATTTTGGCCTCGGAATCTCCCGAGAAGCCACCGTACACCATACAGCCATAGTCGAAGTGGGGGAAAACAAGGGAGGAAACTAGTAGCTGACGGGACTTATATGGAAGGAGATATTTACGGGTTTAGTTTAAATATTCATAGATGTCAATTTCTCTATCAATCTATCATAATGTTTCAGTAGATACGGAAGTACATTTCCTTATATTAGGGTGGATAGAATTTCCCGATTTCTGCAGTCGGCTTTTTTAAAAGTAAATGTTTAATTTTTTTTTTTGTTCGGATTACCGTGACTGGTGTCGCCAACGTAAATATTGGTGCTATATGTTATTATTATGGTACTATATATTATTGCTTTCTTTTTAGCTCTAACGAAGACAAGCAATATGATTTGAAAATTCGGTATTTAATAAATAATTTGCCATTATTTGATATCCTGTCATGTTTTAGTTTTAGTTATTCACTTGTAATATAAATGTATATAAATAGATATAAAGATTAAATTATTATTAACAATGTTCTGATTGCTTTCCTGTCGAATGAACTTGGAAGACAAGATACTGCAAACAGGTGTTGCCGGACTATCGGACTTGGGGATTGAAGTGCAGTTTCACCGCAAAGTTCTATTAAGTTGGAGTACCCGGAGTAAGTTCAGGACAGACAGAAAGTTCACACACAATGCTATGTTGTGTTCTAGCAGTTTATACTGGACTTCCTTATCAACAATTATCAAGATTTCATCATACGATAATGATCTTCTAATATACATTTCGTGCTTAGTTAGAACTTACCTACAGCAAATGCTGTCGAATCTCGAGAAATACAAATGCATGAAACAAACTGTTCAAAGTTTATCTAAACATCTAAATCCGAAAAAAATGAACACCATTATCTTAAACCGTTATCATTCCTAGGTTTTTTTAGAAATAGAAAATAACTTTATTCTGGGACAAACTACCTTTAGAATAACAAAATAGAACATGATTAAAAGACTACATCTGGCCAAAATAAAACAATAATAAAAAAAGAGAAAGTAAAGAAAATATTAGTTAAACAAGCTATATACAACAAAAAATCTATATACAAAACACTTGGAAACTATGTGTAGTAGGGAAAATTATAATTATACACTTTTGAAAAATAAAATAATAAAAAATACATCGAGTTCTTCTTTAAAATGAGCTGTGTTTCTGCTAACAAAGGAAAGACAAATCTGACAATATAAAATGTCAGAGTATTTAAATAATGAATAATATCTAAAAACATCATTATCTGATTGTAACTATTGGTACAAATATAAAATATCTTCCACCAGTATTTTATTTAAAGTTGATGAGATTTATTCAATTCATAAAGCTTAGAAAACGTATTAAAAAATTACAGAAATACCATTCCATTTAATATTTAAACCACTTGATACTTCCATCAAAAGTTTTGAATTCGAGATTTGGTTAAAGTTGAAACAATTCCCGAAATGGGACGATTTGATCTTCCATTCTCGAACGATTTCTCACTTTTATCTGCTGTTTTGTGGATTAGGCCTCATAATTTACATAAACCTCTTTCATTTGAATAATTTGGCCAGAGCTCATGGCCGAATGATTGTGGTTAACGGCTGTCATCACCATATTCGCTGGAGCTGGCCAATCAAATTGCAGTATCTGATCTGGCTAACTGATCCTTCGTATTTAATCTGTATGTGT